CCTGCTGAATTCTATCAGAGTTTTATTGGAAGAAGACATGCAGAGACAGAGCTCTTTGGAGGGAGGGAACAAGTCCCCACACCACTTTAGGCTTAAAATTTATTTCTGATATGCATCTGTAAGCGTAGACCAATTCTTGTGGAGAAACACCATGCAGAGCCACAGCTTGAAGTGACCAGGATCTAGAGCTAAATGCTAGAGAGTTCTTTATTCAAACTGAATTAATTGAGCATGGCTCAAGAAAAATGAAGCATATTTTCTGTAACAAACCAAGTACCATTAAATGCTGGATAGCTGGCAAGGTCATCCAGTTCTATTTTTATCATATATAGGGAAGGTCATATAATGTGGTTAATCGCTGCTTCAGTAAACAACAATTCAGCTGCAAAATAGTATTTCATTTTTGTCACCTCTAACTATATGATTTCAGAAGAATAGTGTGAAAGAATCAAAATTCAATGGAGAATCAGTGTGTCCAGGAGCTCACTTCAGTGTTTCCTCAGGGATGCACTTGTTTCGTTTTGACAGCGTTGCTAGCAAGGCACCTGTGCAGGTGAAGTCAATATGGAAGTGTACACTCCAGCATCTTCCCTGACTCCAGTGAGGGACACTGGGGCTCTTTCCAGGTTTGGGGCCTTTTAAAATAGGTAAAGAAGAGCTGATGGCCAGCAGGTCACAGCGCTGTTGACGATCTGACACCAGGGAGCCCAGAGTGGGAGAGGGCTGGTGGCCCTGCATTGCACATACATCAAGCGCTCATCCTGGTGCTGGGATCTCTGCCACCAACCGTGCGGGGTGGTGGCCAAGAGACTGTTCGGATCTCAGCGTGTGAGGCTTCATGGTCGACCAGGGTGCTCTGTTCCTGCTCTGTCTCATAGGACAAAGAGATGATTTCCATTTTTGTGCCTTTTTGTCTCACATTCTTCACAGGTGTGAAATTTATAGCTGGTTTTTTTATGAAAAGGGCAAAAAACGCCCCAAACAACTGATCATACAAATTGGCTGATCCAACAAGCAGGTGCCTTTTTGAAGTATTTTGGTGAATATGCTGCAAACGCTGGAAAATTAAGAACTGAGCCTGGTATAATTAAGTCTTTTCTTTCAAGCAAGAAAGCTGGTCCCATCTTTCAGTCCTTTTGTAGTAGAACTTTCTTTCAGTAAAGTTATTGACAGCTGCATCTTCAACATTAAACTGCTGGGACTTTTGCTGAGCTACTCTGCCTTGCTGTCCTCCTAGGATGTTGTTTTCCTTTTCCTGGGTTATTTTTCTGTGGATTTTCTGAGTTGAAATAGGTTAGGGAAAGGGCTGAGAACCACTAGGAGTGGGCTGGGAGGAACGATAGTAGTGACATTATCAGACCAGGTCGGCTCTTTTCTTAATCTTGTCCCCAGAATGGTGCCTGGAGGATGGAGAGAAGAGGGATTTCATCTTCCAGGCATCAGCTTCTGGTGTATCCCGAGGATGCCTGGCTGAAACAAAGCACTTCTGGGGGAACGGCACCCCCTAACGTGGGCTTGCTCCATGCCTGGAGATGGAATTTCCAGATCTACATATCTGCATTACAGCTCCCCAAAACGAAGTGTTACTGGGTGTTGGGTTTCACTGGGGCATTGCAGCATGGGGTTTAGCATTCAATAGTGAGAATTAATAGGGCCAGAAAAAGCTGTGTATTAGCAAGCACCTACAAAGGAGCGTGCTGCTTCCCTGTTCAACATGAAAAGATTGCCAGAGGAAGTCATAAAGGTAGTACAGGCAGTTTTAATGTAGTTTGTATAGTGCCATGGGTTTTATGAATATTTTTTCAAAGGGAAGCAGAATATAGCTTTTCTGCAGAGAGTACCATTAAGATTATAGCTGTAAAATTGAATTCTGTGGTGAAGCGATGATAATTCAGAAAAAAACATAGAAATGAAAAAGGTAGTGCTTCTGTTTTGATTCACTGATTCTGTTTGTTTGTTTGATTTAATTTTTGAACTAGGCCTATTACGAGCCTGCCATATGGCAACACTTTCATAATGCTGGGGTACTTGTAGTCTTGTCGTCAGGATTTCAGCTTCAGAGTGTGTTGAGTTCTTTAAAACAACCTTTTTTTTTCTTCCTTTTTAAGTTAAGACAGAAACAAAAAAAGATATATTTTGGTGCTTTCACATTTTTGTACTCCTTCAGTTTGAAAA